CTAATTCCTATCTATATGTAACAAGGAAAGTGAAAAACAAGCATAAATAAAGATTCAATACATAATTCCAGATTTCACCCTTTATTTCAACAACATAAGGCCCCTATTGTAAGCAAAGACTCCCCCTGGATCCACGACAGTAACTCTACTTCATAACGTCACCTGCATCAGCACAAAAGAAAAAAGTTTGAACTAGTCCTCACTTTTGTTCAATTAAAGGCAGGAAATATATCTCACATTATCATTTCAGATAGGGAGAAGGGAGTGAGAGAGATTACATGGGTCAAAGTTGGCAGTGCATTTTTCTGGGAGTTGCAAAGCCATGTTGCGATCAACTCCAGCAATGGGAGGGCCATTTACTAGTACACACAAGCAAGCCTGCCCCAGAGTTTTGACGGCATTGCAGCAGACCTCAGTTGGCGGGATGGGACTGAAGGGAGCCACTGCTGGCCTACAAGGTATTAGCTGAACAAGTGCTGAGAAGAATGTGCTGCTGCAAGCATGGCCTTCGCCTTCTTTTGCCAACCCTGCCAGGAGCAAAACAAAAACCAGTAATGGAAGAGCCTTCAAGTCATTTAGCTTCTTCATATTTGAATTTTCAACCCTAAATTCCTTCCCTTGGAATTCTTCTCGAAGGAAGCTATCGATATATAGAAAACAGACTCATGCCACTGCACACCAGTGTCCTACCCCACACACCATGCTTCTCATGCCATTTCTATGTCAACTCTGCTTTTGATCCGATTTTCATCAACAAACTAACTCAAACATACATTTCATACACTGATGAAACAGGTAGAAAACCACAATTTCATGATTTGAGCTTCTCAAAATTGTTGACACAATATTAATACCACTTTAACATCAGCTAAAAAATGTAAATCAGTAGAATGAATCATACCAAAGGCAATATTGCAATATAATTCTTGGAATAAATTTGCAAGTACACATAAGCTTCACAATAATACTAAATTATGGTTCAATTTGACCACCTGCCAAGGCAAGGAAATTCTACGAGAACATAATGTTAAGCTCATTATCTTGCAAATTATTTGAACTCCCAACAGCCTTGAAATTTTATTGCATTCTTGAGACGGTTACAAATTTTCATGGTTCCCCTTTATT